CTTTGCGTCTCTTGAAGACAACATACTCTCTTAAAGAAGGTCGAGGATATGCGTAAAACAAAAGTTTGATCAACCTAAGTGCGCATGTAAGCTACTTATCAGTAACTTACAAAACATGTTCTAGCTACTTTACTAGCGCACACACCTCAGATCATTGTGACCGTTCCGTATATCTTTTATGTTAGTTTCTAAACATCCGTTAGTACAGTGGCGTGGCCAGGATTATTTTTTGTCTTGGGCAAAAAATAAAGGTGATCTACGAGTATGTCGTGAGGGAGAGGAGGGAGGCGCGTGAGAGGGGGAGGGCTGGGGATTGTTGAGATGGAGGTCCTGGAAGAGGAGGTTGGATCTGCGGCAGAGGGAGGTGAAGTGGCGGGAGAGGAGGGGAAGCGAGGGGGCCGAGGAGGGAAAGGTCGTGGGAGAGGCGGAGTTTCTTGCCCTGGGCAGCTGCCCAAGGCAAGCAAGCTCTGGCTACGCCCCTGCCTGAGGATCACATGACGCTAGAGTTAGACATTTGTGAAGAACATATATTCCCACGTGGAAACATGATTTCCGCATGATCGAGTTTAAGATAATTAATCCTTTTAAAGGTGCAATATTTTTTACACCTTTTCACCGTGTAGGAACCCTTGTTAATTATCTTCAAATTTTACGTGGTGCAGGGAGAATCATAACTACTCCTGAGAAGCTCATATGACTTTCATCACAGGGACAGAGCGGGCCACAGCAACCTTGTGGCCTCAGTGACAGTGCAGCGGCAGTAGGCAGTAGGCTAGGCTCCGCCCTACCCGCAGCTACTTGAGCAGAGACTCAGTTTTGGATACTACATACAGAGATTGTTGTAGGCCCCTCCATTTTAGGCAATTTACACCGAGTACATCCGTCAAAAACTCTTCTGTGCTTCTTAAATTGATTGCTGTAGCTGACACTGCAGCCTTTGTGATGATAAGGTGGCCCCCATGTGTAAGTTCATGGAGGACATGTGACAAATAGATCCATGCATGAAAGTGGACCAATGCGTGTCTCAATATCAGTCCAATATATATATATATATTGAGATTTAGTTACTCAAATCATTGAAATTGCTATTGGGTCCCTTAAATCATATGAAATGTTTTAAATTAGTCCGTTTGTTAACGTTACAGAGTTTGTCCAACCTTTTAATCATGGCTAGGTTAGCTCTTAACTATGGATGAATATTTACCAAACTACCTCACTAAATAGCTCCCTAAAATCAATGCCCAAAATCAATTTTCTCTTCACAGAGAAGGTATAGCCTATATTCCACCGCAACAGAGGCGCAGCTAGTAAGGGCATCTCCAACCCAGCCCCATTTTGGTACAAACAGTGATTTTTGTTGCACTGTTCCTTCTCCAATCCAGCCCTAATTTCTGCTCCATTTTGGTGCAAATGAACAGTGCTGCACCAAATATGGCGTCGCACTGTTCATCCGCCCTATTACTGTTCACTTTTTTAAAATTTTTTAAATATTTGTTTTTACCTCTCAATTAATATAAAAATAGATAAAAGGGAATAAAGTGATAATATACTGAGAATATTCTTTTTTGGTGTAAAAAATGGTGTAATGGGTTGGAGATGTATTACTGTTTGATAATATACTGAGAATATTCTTTTTTGGTGTAAAAAATGGTGTAATGGGTTGGAGATGTATTACTGTTTGATGTGACTTTTGCACCATTTTGATGCAAAATATGGGTTGGAGATGTATTACTGTTTGATGTGACTTTTGCACCATTTTGATGCAAAATTTGCACCATTTTAGTGCAATGGGTTGGAGATGGTCTAAGGGCCCAAGAGGGCTTTGGCCCCCCCAAGAAATAATAGGGATTTTATTCCATATTGGTCCCTTAATCTTTCATATTTTGAATTGGTCCCTCAAAGTACGTAAATTGTTACTAGGTCCCAAGAAAGTGGGGGAAAGTATGAGCTATCACTATATTATTGGTTGATGTGAGTAATTTTTGATGCTTTCCTTCACTTTCCTTGTTTAGATTTTTTTCTTGTGTTTGGTTCATTCTTAAAAGTTGGGGAAAAAAGATAAGATGAGATGAGATGAGATGAGTTGTCACCATATTATTGGATGATGAGATGAGATGAGTTTTCCTCCACTATCCTTGTTTTTTGGAGGAAAGTGATGGAAGGAAATTTTAATGAGATGTGATGAGTTGTCACCATATTATTGGATGATGTGAGTAATTTTTAAAGATGATAGAAAATAAAGAAAAGTGAGGGAAAGTGAGTTAGATGAGTTGATTGATGTGACTCATTTCTTGTGTTTTGTTTATTTTTAAAAGTATGAAATGAGATGTGGTGGGATGAGTTGTCACAATATTATTGGAGGAAAGTGGAGAAAGTGAAGAAAAGTGGGTTTTGAAAAGTGGGGGAAAGTGAAAAAGTAAAGGAAAGTGGGTTTTGGATTCTGGGGGAAACGAAACAAACAGGCCCTAACCTTCTTTTGCCCCTTACCCAGAATTTCTTGGCTCCGCCACTGCACCTCAAATTGTTAAATTGGAACAAATATTCTCTCTCAATTCAAACAGGTGTTAACAAGCGAGACTACGTCCAAACAACATGTTTAATTAAAGGACCCAATAGAAATTTCATTGATGTTGGTGACTAATTTCAAAATATAAAAGATTAGAGTTGGAAAAAAAAAACCCTTTTAAAAGCGCGGATTGTCTTTGAGTTTCGTAGTGTGTTTGTATGAAAACAAACAATTTTTTGTGAACCAATATTTTAACTGTCTGTATTGATTGATTGATATTGCTTACGTCAATAATGTGTACTATTTGCAGTAATATCATGTATTATTTGAACTGATCTAAAAAATCGACAGCGAGACAAGATGTCTGTATATGATCGTTTCCGACTTGATCAAATTGCTTTTGTGCTACTTAAGTCTAGGTGAGTACGTCCATCTGTAACCCTTGTCCCTTGTGAGCTACTTCAAATTTCTTTCTGCAATTTCTCTGCAGCTTTTGCTGATGATAATAAGGTGGGCCCCGGTGGGGCTGTAGGCCGGTAGGTGTGGGCCTTTAAAATCCCAAACAGGAGCTAAGGCTAAGAAAGGAGCTAGTGACTCTTTTCTTACGAGTACTTCTTAAGATGTTACCGTATCCTTTTGGATACTGTGGCCGTATTGATTTAGACAGTTGTTCTGGATTTAAGATCTGTAACGTTATTCATGGGGTTGACATTCTTTGATTGGACACATTTATGTTTTTTTGTTTCTACGTATGTGTTTAGACATTTTAATTTCTTTTCTCTTTCTCTCTCTCTCTCTCTTTCTTTCTGTTTTTTTTTTTGTTAGCATTACGGTCTAGACAGTCTCTTTAGACAAGACCTTATTGTCATATAATATGTACATTTAGTCACCTATTTTATGGTATCCAAAAAAAAAAGATAGCGACATCATTACATGAGATTAATTTTGGAGAGAGTATTCATGGAGTCGTGAGTCATAACCTAGTTCTACTCCGAGGACGTAGGTAATTACATTGATTGTCGAACCTTGTTGAGTCCCTGCCTTTTCGAAGTTAATGACTGTTGTTTTACCTGTTCTGATATTTATGGTTGTTTTCTTTAATTTTGGGTTTTTCTTTTTTTGGCATTGTTAGTAAGTTGAGAAAAATGGTGATTTTAGTGTTGCAACGATGACAAAATTGATTAGTGAATTAATTATCGAAAGAATATGGTGATTTTAGTGATCGTGTCGACGTTGTTAACAACACGGCAAGGATTTCACGGCTTGAGCACGACTCCAGCTTTCCAATTAGTTCTAACTCATGTTAGGTCTAACTGGGTTTATGTTAGTTCTAACTCAGTTCCTGTTAGTTCTAACTCAGTTCTTGTTAGTTCTAAATTAGAACTAACTATTTAGAGCTAACATGAACTGAGTTAGAACTAACACGAACACGAAATCCAAGCGAAGATAAGAATACCAACATCAAATTTTAGCATCAAATTCCTGCAAGTTAAGACATTCAACATTTCTTCAGGGAGAATACTCCATGACAAAATCCAAGCAAAGATAAGAATACCAACATCAAATTTATCAAAAAAAGCTTCGCCATCTCCTTCCTCAGCTCCAGCACCAAGATCACCTCTTAAAATTTCAAACCCAACAGGCATCTCTTCGCCATCTTGACTAACAATCTCCTTAACAAGCAGTGGCTTCTCATCAAATTCCAAAAAAAAAGAGTGGCTTTGTGCCTGCAGCCCCTTCATTTTCATTTTTCTTGGGCATCATGCACTCTTTTTTCTTGGTCATCCTCCTCCGGCGAGAGAGAGAGAGAGAGAGAGAGAGAGAGAGAGAGAGAGAGAACTGGGTTTGAAGGATTGAGAAGAGGGGATAAGGTTATTTTAGGGATTTTAGCTTAGCTGGCATGTAATAATTGTTAAAAAGGGGTTGCAGCACAAAATGTCACACTTCAAGGAGCTGAACCACATGGGGAAAACTAGAAGGGGCTGCAGCACATGAAGTTTTCGTTTTTGAGGCATGGACACATTTTTCCCTAGTAAGTTTTATTTCATTATGTTGCTAGCACTTTTCTTAGACACGTTGATAGTCACATGTGAGTAATGTCACACATTGACAGGTGAACAAATTAGCAATGTGAAGCGAGGAAATATTTTTATTATGAGAAATAAATAAGCAATGTGAAGCGAGAAATTTGTTTTATTATGAGAAATGAATAACCTACAGAAAGGCTGAGATTAAGATTTGTGAATTTGAATCTTTTTATGAAAAGGTTACGCAAAGATAAAGAGAAACTGGGGCTTGAACATAGGAAAAATTCCCTCTAATTCCATTCAGTTAATGAGAAAAATATTTATTCAAAATCTCACAGAGAGAGAGAGAGAGAAACCTACTGAAGATTCCAACAAACACAATGAGCTTAACGCGTCAATAATACTAAAAAAAGTTTTCTTTACAATAATTTCATACACTACACAGATTAATTAGCCCCATAAACAATCACAAGCTTAACAAATATTTAAAAAAAATTATTCATATAATATATTACAAATTAGTGTCCCAATTTATTTGTTCAAAACAAAGAATTTCCTCAATGAAATTTTAGCCATCAGACACCTCCCAGGCACCTCCGTCTCTGAGCATCAACTTTTTGATTAATCTATACAAGAATCAATCAAATTCTATGCTTATCCAGTTATTAATTTACAAAATGAATAAATACTATCCTCTTAAGGGGGAAAAAATCATGGTGATGACTGCATCTGGCATCTCTGAACCAAATGAAAGAATTGTTTCTGTACAACTTTTGAAGGACCTAGAGTCAGGCATTGGCTTGAAGATCATAAAAAAATTTCTGCCTAATTATCTTCTCTCATTCTCTGCTCTCCTCCCGTCTGAAGGCGATGATCTTCCAGCTTCTGCTGAGAATCCTCCACCAGCTGCTTCTTCCTCAAGTGCTCTTTCCAATTCCTAACAAAAATTGCACAATTTCGATCAATAAAAAGGGTAAATTTCACAAATCCTCCTGAATATTGGGCTTACGAACAAAACCCCTCACTTTATAAATCACAGAAAAATACCCCTGAACTGTCAAAATTATACCAAAACCCTGTAACTATTGGAAATTCTCATAAACAACGTTAACCAGTAGAGGAAAAAGTCAAGTAGCCGTTTTTCACTTCTTACCTGCCCTTAACTGAGAAGGGTAATGTAGAAGTTAGCAGATGCCAGTAAGTTTATCGCTGTCAGTCAAGACACACTTCAAGGCAAAGCCTAACTCTACGTTCAGAGAAAATTTCTTTGTTTTATGAAGTTCAAGCGTTTTTGTGTCAAACAACCCAAAGTTCAGGAGGGTTTTGTGAAATTTAAAGAAAAAGGGCAAGGGAAATAAGTAAGCAATCCAGGGCAGAAGCATACTTGCAGTGAGGAACATGGCATTTTGGTTCAGCACAAGATTGCGCATGGATGCGGAGAATGTACCAGATTATCCGACAAAATTTACATCCTCCACTCGCACGAGTTTCACATTTTGTACCATGATGGAAGAGATCTTTGAGCTTCCGACGATGTGGGGATGTGCACCTAGGGACAACACAGTTGGAGGCATATAAGAAAGCAGCACCGGAGAATTCCTGAAAAATTCTAATTGTTACCTTTCAGATTGTAGCTTACGTTATCGCGATCTTAGTAGTTTATCATTCCGAGACTTCTGAATGTCAACAAAGTTAGTTATCTTGAAATATTGTTTTATGACATAAAAGTGTACAACAAGCCTTTCACGTCGTTTTCTTGCACGTGTTCACCATTGTCAGTCCTGTTTGCAAGGGTAACATAAATGTGGTGTAATATCAGACCAAACCAAGAGGATTCCTTTGTTCTATAGGAAATTTAAAAATTACTTTAGGAATTTTGTGACATCCCAAAATGGAAATAAAACTCGATATCATTGGTTATGAAGCAAAATGGCAGAAAGAGATTGGAAAATAACTCGTTAAATCTCACACTGCAACAGTTAAATGACAAAATTGATTAAATTTCAATGTGGATTTTAAGATTACAAAAATGAAGAAGTTTTAGTTAGCATGGTAGAATACACAAATTTGGTAGAATACACAATCTAGAAATATCAATGCCTCTGCAATTTACAGTCCCAGCTGGATTGAGCCATGTTGGTTATAGTAGTAGGTTTAGCTTATACATAACGAGATTTTTTTTTGGCGCATTAGATGGTCTGAAATTTACATTTTGCAAGGTCTGCTGAAACTTTCAAGGAAATCAGCGGCTTATTCGCAGAATTAGAGACAAAGTTAACGATAAATTTTGATAGACAAAATGAAAATAAACAAGAAGGATAAGAAATATCCATTCAATTACATGTTTCCACCTTAATCTAGAGATCCAATAGGAAGACAAGAAACTAAAGAATTAAACTAATTAGAGATATCACCAAGATCTTTCCATGCATTAGGTAAAAACTTAAGATTATAACTAAATAGAAATATCGCAAATACTTGGAAAACTTATTTGTAATACACTAAGACCTTCAAAATTATTAGAAAATAAAACAAGAACTTCCAATTAAATGCCAAAGGATAATGTGAAGGCATTACCTGAAAAGACTGTACTTGCTTGCTTTGATTGGTCAGCTGTGAAGTATTATCAGTCACAGTGGCCACAGGTGTTTCTATGTCCCTCCAGCACCCAATGCCAGCAGATATCGAAGGAGAAAATTGATTATGCAGATTATAAAGAATCATCATAATCGAATGTTTTGCTTTTCGAAGAGTATCAAATTGGTAATGATTACTCCGACAATGACTCAAGAACATAGATCTTGTGTCAAATATTTTGCTCTGAATAGTTTCATCGTCATCATCAATAGTACACGCTGGAATGTTATCCACCTGAGCCTGCTCGGACATTTAAGAGTTAGACAACAATCTATTGAATGAATATGCGGGTAAGCGAGAGTTTAGGCACTCACTCCATGAAATAATAGCAATTCACTTTTGCCATAAGGGTGTCTATATTTCTTCTTCAGCTTCTGCTCTAAAAGAAAACACCTGCTTGAATAAATAGGAACGAAGTAAGCTAACATGCATCTGAAATTTGAATTACTGATAAGAAATATAAACTGCAATGGAAAGATATTGTGCAGGTAAAAAGTTTTGGAGGAGAAACTTTGCACAAGCATTAGCAGTATAATAAAAGGAAAAAAAAAGTCTAGGGGTCATAAGTGACTCTAACCCCCTTATAGGACAAGGGTGTATCTAGAATTAACCCTGTAGTTTAACTTGTTCTCAGAGATCCATTTTGAATTATAGAAAATCTTTCAACAAAAGAATTGTTCGACAACCATTTATCCTAGATATAAACAAAACAATTGCTGGGAAATATTACATTATATGATTGTTTTTTTACGGTAGAAAAGAAAAAAAATGATTCGCCATTTGCCATTTTCAATAAGTTACTATCATTGGTGTATTGTGTGATACATTGTTAGTATGATCAGTCATAATGCATGTTGTAGATTACACTGTCAATGAGATCCTATGAAGCATACCAACCTTCAACTGAATGACAATTTATTGATTCAGCACTACAAATTCTCTTTTTCATCTCCACAGCAGACTAGAATTGATTTTGTACAGAACACAAGTTTCACTAAATTTGCAAAGAAAGGAATTACTGGTGAAAGAAAATAGGTTATAACCATTGCATCCTACAATAACAACAACAAAGTCTTTTATCACAAATTTTTTAGGGTAACCATGGCATCCTAAATGTGGGAATCACAAATAAAAAAAAGGAGGAGAATGTTACTCACTTTTCACAAATATGAAAGTTCTTGCAAACACTGCAAACCCATTGCTTTTCATACAAAATAGGATGACAACAATGCTTGCAGACATACCACAGATGGGCAATGATTTCTTTTGATGCGCAGATGTTATTTCCAAGCTGTAGAAATAAAATAAGTCCATGCTGATAATAGTTAATAGTTATCCTCACCAGAAAGCAATGCAATTCTACAGCAAAGCTGGGTTTATAAATGAATTACCGAACCACAAAACAATACAAAGTAAATTTCTGACTAAAAACTTGGATAATTTTACAGAAACATTACCTTGTACATCAGTAGAATCTCTTTCGGATTGTCTATTGAAGCCTCACATCTGGAATCCCACAGAACTCTATCATTTCCTTCCTTTCTTCCTTTTTTTTCCGAGGCTTACTACAACTCTCACTTTGTAGGAGAATATCTGCTTGTCCTGGCCAGTAATCGCCATCAAAATACGGCAAACGTGAGGCAGTGATTTTAGCCTTGCAATAATTAGCTTTTACGAAGAAATGATCGTATAAGTTAGTGTGCTCTGCAACAATTTTCTACTTCACAGCCTTCTGAATTATCGTTTGATACCTGGTTAGATGATCAAAATAAGGATATTGTGTTAGATTAGGAAAGGGCACTATTAAGTGTACGTTAGACTGCAGAAGAGTAAGAGTTACCATTCACGAAGTTTCACAGGTTTGGGCACCTTCTGTATCTTAGGGTGGCAGTACAAAATATAATCATCATCTTGCTTCAGTGGCGGGCAAGCCCATATGGATACTAGTGAAGTGAACCCTCGCTTCTTGCAATACTCTAGGTATCCTATCTATAAGCACATCCAATTCGTAATTAGCACATCCAAAAATGTCGAAACAAATGAGATTTAGAAGACTAAAAGTTGTGAGTTTCACATACCAAAATTTCATGATAAACAAAAGTACGCAGAGCCTCTCCAGTCACAGCTATTACTTCAGGCCTGAAATATTTGACAGAGTCAATGTATGAAATAGAAACACGTCGTCTATTTGGGTCAGCACATCTGGCGCCATACTCTTGTACATACACCAAAGAGACAAACATATGGACCATCGATGTTTTGAAACAAAAGGACGGCATGGAAAAAATTAGCAATGACATTAGCTTAGTACAATTTTGCATCAACGAAATTTATGTTCAAAACAGACGCCTATTTTCTTACTAACCACGGATTTCATCCAGTAAAACCAAGGTTAAGGAAGAAAAGTATACCGCCTGGGCATTCAAATGGTATTGCTTGTCTAGACTTGTTTAATGGACTCCAAAACTTTGATTGATTCTAGATCTCATATTAGTGAAGTATCTAATCTTCATTACAATAAGGTGCACGCTAAGTTGTTAACATAAGAAAAACAAAAGCAAAAGAGTTATCTTCACCTTTGATTTGTAAGGAAATTCTGAAGGATATATATCTTCTTGAAAAATGCCTTGGGAAACCTGTTTTTACTTGCAATTTCTTGGAAACTGATGACACTACCCTTACAATGAGGCCTTCAGCTGCTGGTACCTGATGCCAAAAAAAAGAATGATCAGCTACCAGACATGACTATAAAATACCATCATATTTCTTTTAACAATATTCATAAATATATAAGAGAAATTTAAAAGAAAAATATCTCAAGCCGTCGAAATCCTAGAGATAAGAAACAAAAGAGTAACAATATGTAGAAAGAAGTGAATTGTGCCTAAATGCGAACAAGACCTGCAAAGAAACAGTAAAACAAGTGATTTACATTTTCCTATAATAATAAGTAAAATAAATACTTAATTTTTAACCATAATACTGCTTCCAGTGAGTTAATTAATGGCTG